ATAGGAGAGGTATGGAACAAGAGTCTCCAGCACAGCGCTCAGGAAGTAGCAACCTTGTTGACATCCTGATCTCGACTTCTAGCAGAACTGTGAGACAAGTTTCTGTTGTTTAATCACCCTGCCCCTCACCCTCAGTTTTTGGTACTTTAATGGCAGCTCTTAGGAAACTAATGCACGTGCCTTCCCTGCCTGATGGCCCCTTACAATCACATTCTCGTCCTTGTGCCTGCAACTTATTTCTTCTTCCCCTAATCATTTCATGTATGCTCCCACCCCTTCCCTAACCTCACTCCACACCCTCCCTTGCCAATGCCCTTCACCAGTGGTTCTCATCAGGAGTACCACTCACATTTTGCATAAGGTGGTTCATACAGGGGACTGTCCAGCCCATTGCAGGATATTGAATGTTTCTAGTACCGATGTGCCACAGTGCCCAGTGTACTTCTGCTCTAGAAGCTTTGAAGTCAGCTGCCCTCCAGAGTTTGACTCAGTCTCACCATCTACTGCATATGATTTCATCAGGTCAGTTAAATTCAACCTCTTCATCTGTAAAATGGGAATAAGTAACTGCCTTGCCATGTGACTCTGAAGACTCAATGAGTTAAAGATGCTAATGAGCCCAGGCTTACCCTCACTAGCTCTTTCTGGCATTAGAATCACTTAGGAAGTAATGCCCAATCTGTTAACATGGTCACATCCTGACTTTAATTGCCTTGAACTCCTTTTAGAGGCATCATCACACAGTAAAGTTTCACTGAATACATTCTGTGAAGATGTAACTGCTTAACTGTCCACGGCATGTTTAAAATAGTTATGTCATGCAACGCAGTTGGGTATGCCTTCTACAGTTACAAAGAGCATAATTCCTATGTGTTCTCTGGCCAGCCTCGCCCTTACTTGATCATAGCTGCAGCCCTGGACACAGCTCCACGTATTCCAATTTGCTTCCAATTTCTCTGTAACTTTTGCTCCCAGTGAAGGTCCCACTCCAACATCTGGGGATATACGGCTATCTAGCTCATTTCACCCCGCTCCATGGAAACATCCCTCAAGCCCCATCAGTCCCTCATTCTCCTTGATTAAACAGTTTGCATTCCAACTCTTTGAGAGTTCAGCACTGATATCTGCCATGAGGCTGGAGTCTAAATCTGTTCTCCTGACCATCACATATACCTAGCACCTAACAGCACTTAACACAGAGCCTGTATTTAAGAGATTTTCAATGACTGATGAATGCAAGAATCAATCCATGCATGAATGAATGCACTGTTGAATGAACGCATGAATAAATACATTCAGGAGTCAGGAGAGGTGGCTTCCATTTAACCCTCAGCTCTGCACTGACATAAATGACCTCAGGGCAAACCGCTGAATCTCTATGTCCTCCTATGTGAAATTAGGTAGTTAGACTTCACTAGAATTCTCTTTAGGTTTTCTTCCAGTTCTAAAAACTGAGCTCATGAACTTTAACGAAGAGTGAAGGAGTTTATTTATTTATTTATTTTTTTGAGAAATTTTAGTCAAGGCAAGTAAGGAAGTAGGGAGGAGATTTTCTGAAATCACATAGGAGGGTCCTTCCCTGCCAGAGAGCATTTTGTTCCCTGGGGACAAAAGCCTCTAGAGAGCATGCAAGCTGCAGATACAGAAGAAGGCATCTCTGAAATGCTGAGCACTGTGGAGTTTGTTATCATGAGCTTCTTTTAAGGACTTAGAGTCTACCCTGTCTTCAAAAGAAGTCCACAGGGACCTCTGCTGCCTGCTATCTCCCAAAGTGCCTCCCTTTCCAGCCTCGACAAGGTGGGCTCATGCACTCTCTCCCAGGCTCCAAATCTAACTCAATCCCTCTCCCTGCCATCTGCCTAAGGCTCCCACATGCATATTTCATGATTTCTGGCACATTTCCTCCTTATCTGACATCCTGCAATGCATCCCTCTGCTGCCTATATTATTTCTATCTCTGGTAAGAATGTTCCTGAAAGTGGCATGTGTCCTTGGACTATACTTTATTACTGGTGGTTTCACTTTTCCTATCTTATCTCCCCACCTGGTCTTCACCTGAATTTCTGAAGGACAGAGACCACACCCTCAAATTTCCTCCAGTTCCCCACAAAACCAAGGACAAAGCTGGCTAAGCAGCCAATACTTAGAAAATACTTATTGAATGAATGAAGTAATTGACTGATTTCAATATTTTTAAATTAAAAATTCATATTAATACATTTCCTGGATAAAGTTACTGAGACCTCCCCTTCCAAGTGTACAACCAGAATAAATTATATTATTAAATGGCACTTCTATGAATGTACTATTTTCTTAAGACTGAAATAAAATGTCCTTCACTAAAATATGAATGACAGCAACATTATCAGCTGCATAGCAAATCTGATTTTTCAGGTATCCATAGATTATAATGCGGCATCACTTTCATCTCCTAGTAAAAGCAGATTTTACCTGGAGCTGGGGTAGATAAAAGGGCAATCACACTTCGGTGTCAATTATTCCAACTACTAGCTTCTGTGATGAAGCCAGAGAGTTCAGGGAAATCAGTACAAGATATGAGGACTTTTACTCTAAATAGATTGTTTTAATCTATTGCTGATTGAGGCAGAGCACCTTTTTGGAAAATTCTGGGACTTATTTAGCTAAGTCAAATTCTAGTCACATTCCTTCCTTGAGGTTTAATAAATTTCAGCTAAAATCAAACTGACTTGAGAATAAAATTATTTGTTCTTCCATGCACTGGCTGGTCATGGTTCATCACCAAAAAAAAAACAGTGCCAATGGTCAAGACAACACTAATAAAAGGAAAACATTACAGTTATGCCACCAAACCTTAATATAGCTTAATGCTATAAGACCCATTAGCCTCCCCAGCCCAATGGTTGACCTAAACAATTTCATTATCTTTTGGAAATCATTATTCCTGCATGTAAACATAAAGTTGCCATACTTTAGTAATACATAATTACAGAAAAACTGTACTGATATAGGAGATATTGGAAAGACTCAATGACTGAGGACTGATTGAGACATGAAAAGATTGGGTCCATTAAAGTACCTAGTGTTTCTAGGCTACACGTATGTGATAACAAAGTATGTCTTCCAGCTCAGATCAAACCACGTGAGAACACACACTACCAGGTGGGAAGTGAAGAGACCTGAGAAATCACAGTAAAACACTGAAGGAAAAAACAAATTCATTTTAAAGCTAAAATATATATTGCTAAAGTAAAAGAAACTGTTACGAGGATTCATCTGCATTTACCCAACTGATGAAGTCAAAGCTAGAGCACAATTCTGAGTTACTCACCACCATCCTTCATTCTACAGAAGATAAACTCACGTCTCTTAAGCCTAGCTTCATATGTGAAACACATAACATTAAATTTAAAAATTAAAAAGGCATCTAATTGTTAATGGAATTGAGGAAACAGTGATGAAAGGTTGCAGAACTAACTTGATATACTACCTACTGACAGGATAAGCCAAGTAATTACTTCAAGTTTTGACTCTGATTTGTCCAGCACAGCCTAGACTTCTTAATATAAAGCATCCCTTGCACAATCAATAAAATGCTACTGGAACAATTATTGAAGCATGTAAGTTGGTGGTGAAACCTAAAGCTTCGTAGCATTCTCATGAAGGAATGCATTTGAAAAAAATCCACAAAACAGTATGGGTCTCCAAACACATGAAGTGTAGCTTCAGTAGAGAAGTCTATAAAAGGCAGGTTGACTAAGCAACCACAAAAAACTAGAAGTAACCAAAACTATCAGGGGTCTGGGAGGAGAGCATGCCTGCATATAAAGATAAGTTGGTGTTCTCCATCTATTGTTCCTAATGCAAAAGAGAGGCTTTTTTTTTTTTTTGTACTACAGTGTTGATTTCTTTTTAAATAAAAAGCTTTAATGGTTTATAAGGATTTACAAAGAATATTTTATTCCATCCTCCATCCCACCTGCTTCGGAAACAAATTTGGGGACGATACAGTTGAGTTGCTGGGCAGGCAACAGCCATACCAAATTTTAAGCAATTCATATTACACTTTTTGATGTATTTGATTACATATCTCATTAAAGAGCCTCTTAAAACTATAGTTTAACTCTTAGCTAAGGAAACCAGTCTTAATGTAAAACATTTCACCACCTGTCTTACTCAAGTTGGCTATCAAGTATACTTCTGAATTTTCCTTGAAGTCTGACATATAGCTATTTAACTTATCTCTAAAAAAAAAAATTCTTCCTAAAAACATTCAAGAATATCGACCAAAAAAAAGGGGTGGGGGGTTAAAATAATCAAAGAGACAACAATTTTATATGCCCCAAAGATCAATTTAACCACATTACAAGGGGAAACTAAAGACAAACATTTACATAAATATGTAAAGATATTTATAGCACCGGAGGCAAAAATAAATAAATAAATAAAAAAGACAAAGCAAACAAAATCCTGGCACGACAGGAAAAACCTGGTTTACCGTTTTCTTAGCGCAGGTATAAAACTAAAGAAATGTAGTTGGTGGGGAAGGGAGGGTGGGGAGCAATTCCCACTTAAATTTGTTTCATTCAAGAGGTAAGATAGCAAATCAAGCACGCGAAAAGGCTCCCGAACATACATAACCAGGCTGAACGTCCCAAATCGGGAAGAATTAACACCAAGGAAAGCGGAACCCCCGAAGTTCTTGGACCACCCCTTCCCCAAATTCCTAAGCCACACAACTGGAGCTGGGGGGTTCCCGAGCTGTCTCGCTCTCGGGCGGCGCAGGGTGGGCTTGTGGGCGATCCCGGAGTCCCCCACCCACCTTTGCTCCCGCCCTTTTCATTGTTGTCTAAGTGTGATGGATCACCTGCCGGGCGCCGGCTCGCGCGGCCGGACGTGCGGCGCGCCGAGACGCTCAAGGGCGAGCGCAGCGCGGCGCCCGCGGGACACGCGCCCGGCGCCCCCTACCCCCGCACACTCGATCCCGACCCCGTCTCGCGGCCGGTCCCCGCCGCGCTCACCGCCACGAAGCCGGAGGAGGAGGCGATGAACACGCGGATGACCATCCTCTCGCCGTGCTGGGACGCACCGTCTGCCCCTGCCGGCTCTAGGCTGGCACAGACGCGGAGGCAGAACTCAGCTGAGAACAGCGGCCGCACCGGGCACAGCGCTCCCTTCGGGTAAGATCGCCCGGATCTGGATCCCTCTCGCCGGGTCCGTGATAAAAGCTCAGCGCCTCCCGGCCGCCGGCCGAGGGAGTTGGCTAAGCGGCGATTGGGGGATGGGAGGGGAGCTGGCGCGGGGCATGATGGGAGTTGTAGTTTCGGTCGGTCTGTGGAGTAGCTGGTGGACTGAGCGCCTTCAGGTTGCCTGCTTATTGCGCGTCAATGCCGTACGCGCGCAGGTGGCTGGCTGGAAGGGAGCCCGAGGAGGGGGAAAGGCTATGACTAGGGGAGGCGAGGTTGCCAGCGAGACGAGGAAAAAGAAAACTAGGCAAAAGGGCTTGGTTCGAAGTCCAAGCTTAGGTTCTGCGTTGTGGTTTTCTGGTTTTGGAGCATCCCCACCCAGAAACGCCAACAGACACGATCGTCTTAGGGGCGTCTGAGTTGGGCAAGCCTCAGCGATCTGTGGCCGGCGGGTTGGGGTGGGTCCGGCTCTCCCTGGGCGGGCAGTGGAGCACGGCGCGCCTCTCTTTTCCCAGCGACTGTGGAGATTGGAGAAAGATGATTCTTTTAGATAAATGAGAGGTTTTCTTTTTCTGTAGACATTGAAAATTAGAAACCCAGATGAGATCACAACCGATACTTTATTTTTTTAGCAAAACTGCAATTGCAGTAAAAATAAATACCGAGCGAAATCAGAATCCTTATATCAACTTTGGGAATCGGGACCCCACCCACCCCACCCTCTACCTCACACAATAGCTTTGCCTCTGCACCTAATATTTACAGTTGAGCCAAATCTGTGCTTTTTTCAGTCCTGCTGCACATTCCAGCGTAGTATCCCAAGAGGAAGCTTTTATGTCGTTGCTAATAGTTTAGGAATTGTTCTTTAGCAAGTGCTTCTGTGTTACAAAATAGCAAGCTTCTCACAGTTTCGTGGAAATGAACCAGTTTTCCCTTCAGTACTGTATTTACTTTCTTCCTTTCAGCAGGGGAGTTTAGCAGAGTTCTGGGAACAATGTTAATTAATAGTTCTAGAAAGAAAGAAATTACATGATGAGGTTTCTGGCTTTTGGAAAACTCTTACACAAATAATCATTTTGGAGCATTTGCTTTTTAAAACTTGACTATTTCAAGTTTATAACCTTTCCTATTGTTATTTCTGTAGTATTTCCTTTTACTTTAATACAATAACAAAAGATACAACTTTAATGAGCCTTATTTCTTCTTAGTATTCAATAATTTTAAATATGTTTTGCTGTAATTACCATCTTTCTGCAAGTGTATTTTAAATTGGCTACCATAATATGAATATCATGAAATGAATATTTATAAAACTTAACATAATTTTCTTAAAGGTAGATACTAGTTTCTTGTATAATTGCAACTTTATAAAAATCAACATTTTCTTCATTTTGAAATTATTCAGTTGAAGATATAGTTAAACTCAACAAATAGGGACTCATAGTCTAGTCTCTGAAAGGTACCCAAGTAGATGAAAGTTGAATAAGTCATTTTCTCAGTCAGCAGAGCACCTATTATCTGCAAAAGAAAAAGGTACAGAAATAGCAACAGAACAAGAAACACTGTACCAATAGAGTGTTGTGTGGATATAGAAGAAAGAGAGGGAAAGTGACCTTTTTGGAGAGACTTTAAAGATGAGTAGAATTTCTGCTGGCAGATAGGTGAGAATATGCAGAGTATGTGAGAACAGCAAGGAGTTGATTTTGCTTCAGAAGGAATTGAGGAGACATATAGGGGATAGGGTTGAAAATACAGGTTTGAATGAATACAGCAAGGGACTCTCTTAGGTTGTCTGCCCGTCTCCTATCCCTTTTCTGGAATCTGTTACTCTGCTCTGATCCAAGAGATTGTATGTATGGTGCCCCAAAGCCCTGTTCATACAGCAAGATCCAGAATTTTGGCCACAGCTGATTGGTCTACAGGCAAACACCTGATCCAAGCAAGTCCAGACAACATCCATAAGGATTCAGTATTAGGACCGGGAAAGAGAGTTTGAACTTTAACTTGTGACATGGAAGTTCAGAGCTTTCAGAAGCTGTGTTCTAACTTGAGAATGAGAGAAGCTTAGGAGCTAGTCAGTAGGAAAAGAACAACAAGGCACACATGTGGAGGGTGACAGAGATGAATTTCAAAGTGTCCTGAGAATGCTTTAGTCCAGGTGTCCTAAAACTATGACCTGTCTGTCAAATCCAACTGCTTGTCTGTTTTGTAAGTAAAGTTTTTTGGAATGCATTTCTTTTTACATTGTTTGTGGCAGAATGACAGAAACCATGTGGTCCACAAAGCTTAATATATTTACAGTCTGTCCCTTTACAGAAAAAGTTTGCCAATCCCTGTTTGTGGTTCGATCTATTCCTACAGGTCTTAAGGCATAATATCCCTGTATCCATATCATAAAATTCTCATCTTAAGCCACCTCAAACAGGTTTCTGTTTTATGCAAGCAAAAACAGAGAAGTTTGTACTTAAATTGTAAGCATTCTGACAAAGAGAAAGGTATGAACAGAGCTATACTTTAAGAAAATTACTCTGGTAATAATTAGCTGTTTTTTTCTACCCTGGGTGAAAAAGTTTATCTCTAGAGCTTGTGTGTAGGACACAGTGTTAGCAGTCCAGGAAACCTAAAAGGCCAGTATGGAGTTAAGACCCAGAGTTAGTAAACAAAGTGGAAGAGATGAGCAAGAGTAGAAAGCAATCTGGGATATAAGTTAGGGGTCTAAGATCAAGACCAAGATATCATAGTACAGAGAGGATTAGATGCCCATCTGACAAGTAAAGGCTGCAGATAAAGCACACAGCTGAAACTTAAAGACAGAACACAGAAAATCGAGTAGGTCATTAGGTTTTAGGGAAGTTGCTCCTGCATTGCCTAAGATTTGATCCCCTTTGAAAATCATGGTAGACCATCTGGATAAAGTTTTTATGTGTGTGTGTGTGTGTGTGTTTGTGTGTGTGTTCTCCCCTTGGTTTAGATATAATGGATATATAACATTTTGCGTATTTGAGGTGTGCAATGTGATGATTTGATATATATGTAGATATTGTGAAATAATCACCATAATAAGATTATTTAACAGGCAAAGTGTTTTAAAACAGGGGTTCTCAACCTTTAGCAGTCTTGTGAAGTCTGTGGACCTTTCTCAAAAACAAAATGTGTCTAAATAAGGAAAATAAAAGAGATAAGATTACAAAGGAAATTACTTATATTGCAAAAACAGTTATCAAAATATTAAACAATTTTTGATACAGCAGTATACTCACTTCTTTATTAATATCATGACTTAGTAGTAGATCAGATAATCACCATTGATATAGAAGTATAATCGGAAAAAATAAAATTTTGAGATATTTCCAACAATTGGAAAATATTAAAATACCTATTATTTCTATTGGTAACAAAGTCACAAATATTTGCTGTTACAGTGATTTGCTGCCTACGCTCATAGTTGAAGGTATTGGTAAATTTCGGTTAGAGTTTAGTGAAAATTGAAAGATGTTATTTTTTTCTCATTAAAGTTCATGTATTTCCTAAATTCTATCCACAAGTTCCTTGTGGGGTGAAGGTCGTGTGCATTCAAGAACCCCAAGTTAAGAAATGATAATGTCTATATCATAATCTATAACAGCCGATGAATTAGCCAAAGAAGAAAGTATAGAAAGAGACAAGAAGGAGCCACTAAGAGTACCTTGGAGAACTACATTTAAGAATTGGAAGGAAAAACAAAGAATTTTAAAAAGCAGAGGAGCAATTAGAAAAAAACCAAGAGTACAGTGCCACAGAATCCAAGAGAAGAGCTTTGAGTTTCAGGAAGTAGAGCATAGCAAAAATGTTACTCAGATGGGAAGTCAAGAAAGATAATAATGAAAATGGAGGCTTTGAGTTTGTTACTTAGGCAGCCTGAGTTTAAATTCCAGCTTTTCCACTTAATATCTTGAGCGAATTTTGTCAACCTCTCAGCCTCGGTTTTCATGTCTATAAAATCAGTAAAAATAATGGCTATCACTCAAAATTGTTATGAGGATTAATTGTGCATATTCTCTAAGTTATGCCTCATCGTATCTGTCAACTCACAGCCCTTGTGAAGGATGCTCCCAGCACACCTGATTACAGATGTTTGTACCACATCAGTGTGACCTATTACAGCTTGAAAGTAATTTATGACATGTATGACCAAGCTTGAAAATATCTGTTGGTCCTCTTTGGGGAATTTACAATTGTACAATTGTAAGACTAAGGCAATTAGCAGTAGGAATTTAAAAGAAGATGCTCTGAGGGGTGGGGGTTGAGGATGAGAAGCTTTGAGCAAGTTGAGGCAATGAGGGAACTGAAATGAAGAATAAGAAAAGGAAGCTGGTCTGTGACAAGAGGAGAATGGAGCCACTATGGAGTGAAAAACAGCAGAGACACTAATGAGGAAGCTGGCTGCTGTCTTATTTCCAGTCTCAGTTTCCATGAATCCAGGTCTGCCACAGTTCCTGCCCTTAGAGTACTGTTTAATGATGCCAGTCTTTAATCTTGAGCTAGTTTAATTAAGCAAGTCTCTTTTCCCGGCTAATGTACCCTCCTGACCAGAATATCCGTGTAAAGCATGACTAGTAAATCATGTTCCTACAGGGGAACAAGTGCACATGTATTCACTGTGAAGACTATAACAAACTGGATAGCACATCTCAAAAATTCGGATATTTGTCTGAAATAATTTGATTTTTGAATGTTGACTTAATTTTTAAAAACTGAGCCAACTAAGTGAAAACCATGTGCAAGTCCTGTTCAGCCCCATGGTTCTCCAGGCTTCTCCCTCCAATATAAATAAAGTACTGAGTCCAGTGTTTGGTGCCCCGTAAATCCACAAGAAGCTCTGGGTATTATAGTAATGATGGTTTATTATCATTGCTGACCTTTGCGAGAACACTTCCAACAGAAGAGTGAAGGCAGAAGCCAGATTGCAGTGGCTTGAAGACTGATAGCTAATGAGGCAGTGGAGGCAATGATGTAGTCTTTTCTAATTAGAAGCCGAAGAGTAATAAGAGGGGACAAACAAGGACAGAAGTTTGAAGGAGAATCTGGGAACATAAACATTCTTTAATA